GATACTTGTTGGAGTTATGGTCGGTTGGGCAGACCTAAAGCATAAAAACAAGAAAAAAGGGTTACCAGGGAGGAATGACAATGTACACTTGGAGTATGGCGTGTGTGACAGTCTGAAGTGAGTGCGTTTGCGTGCCGTAAAAAATATATACTTTCAACCTTTGCAGTGGTCTTTGAGAAGTAAATGCGTCGAGTTATGTAATCTACCTGACATTTTACGTAAAATAAGTGTGCACATTCCCACGGTGATGAAGTTCTTACGCGGACTTTCACTGGTTTAGAGGAGTTTTATTTTGTTTACTTCTGGGTCACAGAACTTTTAACCCTTGATAAATTGGACTTTTTAATGTCGTAGATAAGATAAGACTGTGTTGTGGATAGTCCTATTTTCGAGGTCCTCATGGGTAGTTTACGTGATCGCTATCTTTTAACACCATGCATGCATGTATAGTAACACCATGGGGTTACCATGTTAACACATGTCACTAGCAGCTGAGTAGCTTTATTATGACACCCCCACGTTATTGTTCCTTGTTAGTTGTCTGATTAACCGGGACGGCACAATATTCGCGGGTAGCGCATATATTGACGCTGGGGTCGCGGACAATCTACGGCCATGCTGTTCGTCAAGTTTTCTTATGGGACCGTGGGACGCCTGCCAAGACATTTACCTGCACTCCACATGACGTGGACACCATTCCTGGAAACTGAGTGATGTGCCTAACAGATGCTGACAAACTAGGCATAGACCTGTAAAATGGCATTCCATGGGAGCTAACAATAGACGAGCGCCGTATCACCAGACCAGCAGGCATATATGTTAAGTGATGGATGTGCACTCGGCATGGTCTCCGGTCATTTTGAGTCATCAAGACGAAATCGGCGAAAACAGTATGCAGTACTTTACGTGGTATACAGTCGCCCAACATACGGTCCATACATTGCAGTATACCGCCACTATTTTATCCCCACTTCTTGTGTCTATTTTAACCTTCCAATAGTTCGATCAGGCACTCATCTTGCGGTAATGTTTATAAAGAAATTGGGCAGTGTGCATGGCGAACGGTAGGATTTTCAGCAAGTTTAAAAAAATGTCGGAAACAAATATGTAAAACGACAGCGCAAAACCTGTCGTTATTCAACTCTACTTCTGTAATCGGTGATCGGCATAACTGAAATCGTTGGTACGTGCTTGTGTGACTCCAAAAACGACCTTGGCTTCTCTCTCTAAAGTCAGCAGTTAATAAGAATTTTAAATTCCGAACCAACCATTTAACTTCACATTGACAGGAATTCGCTTAAGTTGTTTTCCGCAGGCATCCAACGATCCCATCAAATGTCTGCTGAAGGGGGTCTCCTGTTCATACATCTTCGCGTGTTACCATTTGTTCAGCTTAATGAGAGCGTCTATCTGTCATGACTTAGTTAAGACAATCCACAACACATCAGTAGTATCATCGTACGGTTTTAAACTGCATAATCCGCTCCCCCCGCATCTTCTGGTTAGTGTTCACGGGGATTTCGTCCTTAAAATGAACACGACTTCCACCTCATTACAGACGAGGTTATTCCACTACTCGCTTTCAAACCTTGACTCGTTATTCACAACCCAAATAGCTTTGCTACCTCAAAGGTCCAAGGAAAAATAAGAAATGAGACCCTGATTACGGTCTAGAAACAGTAAAATTCTTGATATGACTTCGTGGTCTTCTGACCTAAAGAAGTCTTCTTTCATTTGTTCTTATTGACACTTTCCTCCTACTCCCAAAATATTCTAACCGGTGCCTCACACGAACTGTAGCGGATAGTTCTAAATATTCGCACGGCAACCAACTTCCCTGTATCAACCTTATTTCGTTGACGGTAGACTTACACAATTTTGCACATCTGACGGCTGGCTGCTATCACAATATATTCATTCATACAGGGGCAACAATCGCTATGAAGGCCTTTATTACACCTAAAAGGGGCCTTACTTTCGTTGTAGTTTTTTGTTAATCTGCAAGGCCTTCGATGGCCAAATTAACTACAACCTCTCCTTCATCGAACATATGCCTCTGTTTCCTGAATTATCTTTCACCACGGACGCATGCGTGTAGAAGCCGTTAATTATCCAAGCCGTCCCTCACTGTCCACATGGCTGAATTCTGGTGGGCCACATACTCTAGTACTCAGACTGACGCCCCCCATTCACTTTCTGAGACAAGGTTCCCTCAAATTCTTGGTGCTCCGTCAATTCTTCTCCTTTTACGTGTCCTGTCTAAACGTAGAAGGAAAACAAAACTACTACGAAAAGAAGCAACCACAAGTAACACATGTAAGTGCGCCACAACAAGGCCAGCCGTAATGCTCATATGAACAAAAAAACGAATTCGCCGCGACGTACCGTGCGACGTCGTCCGTGAGTTTTACCGGCTTGTTACATGGGAGTCCCGCATGACGTTAACATAAGGTGTATGATGTCCCCAAGTTCACTAACAAACGCTTGTCGCCGTTATAGGTTTGATAAAATACGATCGTGTAATATAAAGCGGTGAGCCGATTTAATACAGGAGTGAAAATACGTGTGCAAAAGTATCCTCTCGGCTCCTGCGGATTGGTAACAACAGTAGTGAATCACACTGCAGTGGACTGATTCCACGCCAGACCACGAAACGACACCTAAAACTTTCGAGTGGAAATCCCTCCATCTAACTGGATCCATTTGAAAGGAGCCGCCACCAGTTCCCTTGAACAATTCGTAGGGTTCGATGGCCGCTCGCCGCGTGGGACATCTTGAAGTTTCTCATCACTAAAGCTAAGCTTCGCAGACCTCTCTCTTACCGTTCGCCCTTTCGGCACGTCGTTGTCAAGAGTTGTTCATATACTTTCAGCTGCCCCTGCGACACTATACTTCAGTTCAGACTTCTAAAATACCTCAAGCTGAAAATCACGCCTTCCCATATTCCTTTACGGGAATTGAAGTCTGCGTAGCCGTTTGTCACTTCGAAGAACGAGAGACGCTAGTCCACAGCGACCGCAGCAACATACAACCTAGTCAACCAAGTTTCTATGGCAGAGGAACTGACAGCTATCACAAAGACGACGGAACCTTACAGGATAGCTCAAGATTACTAGATCTAGGACGTCCTAATTTAAGGTTATCTCTGCCTATAAAGTCGTTTGTTAATATCAATTCCATGGTTAAATACAGGCGAAACATTTAGCTTCATTGACTAGATTGTTTTCGCCAGACATTCCAACCACATGTCTTCCATGGGCGGTCGTTACGGACTACCGGTTAGTCAACTATCTGATCTGTGCGACTCTTGAATCCGTGGCGTTCTCTGATTCACTGCTTCCAGTGAAAGTATGTGTTTTGGTGAAATCACATTTGAGGCCATATTGCAAAATACTACACCAGAAGGCAAGAGAATGACCAGTCGAATAGATTTGCGCATTTGACGACGCTTTATTGATGCTAATGGTCTGGTCACGCATAATCCTCTCCATTCTTTTGGCAGCTTCACTGTCCACCCTTCATGTTTTAACTCTTCCGCAATTAATTCCTTCAAAGTGAGCTACGTCCGCTTTATTGTTTTACAATTTTCACAGATGTTATGGCAGATCTTGAGTAATTTCTATCTACCCAACTGTGAAAAACTCGGCGCCGCGGTGGGATTCGAACCCACGCAGTAAGAGGAAGGCTTTAGTACAGCCAACGCTCTAACCCCTTGAGCTATGAGGCCCCACCGGACGACGCGAGTTTAATCATATTTAAGTCAATTTACACGCCTAATCTACTGCAACGTCTGGAATCCAGTAAATCTGATACAGTAAGTTGACTGCCCAAGCAGGAGCGTTGGCTGTACTAAAGCCTTCCCCTTACTGCGTGGGTTCAAAGCCCACCGAGGCGCCGAGTTTTTCACAGCTGAGTCAATAGGAATTGTTTTGGAATTGTTTCACCTGTGCTCCGAGCTCCACCGAAAGGTCCATTGAATGCTCGGAAGTAACCGTCTGAGACGCTGGTGTGCTCATCAAGGAAATTGAGGATTACACAAATCTGTGATCATATGACAGATTTTGTCTTTGACGAAGCTGA